TATACAGTGTTGTAACAATGTGCAAATAGGTAAAGTACAAAAGGGAAAATAAATAAACATAAATATGGGTTGAATTTACAATGGTGTTTGTTCTTCACTGGTTGCCCTTTTCTTGGGTCAACAGGTCACAAATCTTGCTGCTGTGATTACACACTGGTATTTCACCCAGTAGATATGGGAGTTTATCAAAATTGGGTTTGTTTTTCGAATTCTTTGTGGAACTCTAATCTGAGGGAAATATGTGTCTCTAATATGGTCATACATTTGGCAGGAGGTTAGGAAGTGCAGCTCAGTTTCCACCTCTCTCTCTCTCTCTCTCTCTCTCTCTCTCTCTCTCTCTCTCTCTTTCTCTTTACCCACCCCTCTCTAGCTCTTTTTCTATCTTTCTATCTCTTTCTCTTTAAAGAAAGAGAGGAACCTGTTGGAATTTTCACTACTTGTTAAGCTTGCAAATGTAATCCTGTTAAAAAATGTAAGCCCTTATGTAGGCAATATGGCAGGTGTATGTTGAAAGAGAGGAGAGAGAGAGAGGGAAGAGAAGAGAGGGGGGTATTTTACAGGAAGTGTCTGCCTTTACTGATTCTGAAGTAGCAACACACCCGCACTACGTCGCTAAAAGTTCTCTGTGCTTCCTTCTCTCCGCCCACCTGTGGCAGCTCTCTCCTCCCTCTTTCAGTGAAACGTTAGTTGTTTTCTCCCTCTCCTCCGCTGTGTATTTATCGTTCCTCACTGGTCCAGTGAGGATGGTCCTGTTGGACATGCCAAGACAGGTGAGAATGACTCTCCTCTTCTCTCGGTTTCCCTTTCTGTTTCTCTTCCGTTGCTCCCCCCCCCTGTCTATACAGTACTATCCAGGCCTTTGTATGTATAGCTATAAGACTGGTGATAGATTTGTAGACCTATTTATGTCACATTGTGGTCTGCGGTGCTGTTATTTGTATGTGCTCTACGGTGCTGTTATTTGTATGTGCTCTATGGTGCTGTTATTTGTATGTGCTCTGCGGAGCTGTTATTTGTATGTGCTCTATGGTGCTGTTATTTGTATGTGCTCTATGGTGCTGTTATTTGTATGTGCTCTGCGGTGCTGTTATTTGTATGTGCTCTGCGGTGCTGTTATTTGTATCTCTCGGTTTCCCTTTCTGTTTCTCTTCCGTTGCTCCCCCCCCCCCCTTCTCTTCTACTCAGGATCTCTCTGTGCTGTGTTGATGCTGGAGTTGTTTCAAAAAGTGATACATTTAAACATGAACTGTTTTAGAGATGGCAGAATGCCAGTAAACTCTCGCTCTCTCTCTCACACACTATCACTCCTGTTAGCCGGTGGGTGGGGTGTGTGCTATTAAAAACACACTGCCTGCAAACATGCGACAAGATGGACGGTTCACTTGGGGAAACTTTAATTTGGGCATGAGGTCCCTTTGGGGCCAGAGAGACACAATATCACCCCACTGAGACTGAGGCTTCCAGAGCTGCTTGGCAGAGACATTATCCTGTGAGTCGCAAAACCAAGGAGAGAGACACTCTCTGGCCAGGGCCAGAGCATGCCAGCGCGGAGCCTAGTGTGCCATACCAGCACCTGTATCCACAAAACATCTCAGAGCAGGAGTGCTGATCTAGGATGTGTCCATATAATCTTATTCATTGTGTTCGAAAAGCCAAAACTGATCGTAGATCAGCTATCCTACTCTGAGATGCATTGTGGATACTGGCTCAGAGCCTAGTGTGCCAGAGCAGGGACTCGGGGAGGGACACGGTGTACCAGTGATGTTCTTTATCTGTGTTGTTCCAGACTAGGAGTCCTTGGTGCTCACGGGAAAGGCCCTGGCTGCCTGCTTTAGGGGTAGGGTTCTGCTCCAGCCTACACACTGGGCCCTGGCTGCCTGCTGTAGGGATAGGGTTCTGCTGCAGCCAACACACTGGGCCCTGGCTGCCTGCTGTAGGGATAGGGTTCTGCTGCAGCCAACACACTGGGCCCTGGCTGCCTGCTGTAGGGGTAGGGTTCTGCTCCAGCCAACACACTGGGCCCTGGCTGCCTGCTGTAGGGATAGGGTTCTGCTGCAGCCAACACACTGGGCCCTGGCTGCCTGCTGTAGGGATAGGGTTCTGCTCCAGCCTACACACTGGACCCTGGCTGCCTGCTGTAGGGATAGGATTCTGCTGCAGCCAACACACTGGGCCCTGGCTGCCTGCTGTAGGGATAGGGTTCTGCTGCAGCCAACACACTGGACCCTGGCTGCCTGCTGTAGGGATAGGATTCTGCTGCAGCCAACACACTGGGCCCTGGCTGCCTGCTGTAGGGATAGGGTTCTGCTCCAGCCAACACACTGGGCCCTGGCTGCCTGCTGTAGGGATAGGGTTCTGCTGCAGCCAACACACTGGGCCCTGGGGAATGAGCAAGAGAGAGAGACCAGACTGTTGTAGATAAGATGTGCTTGCACTGCAGCTTCTGTGAACGTTCAGTCTGCTGTAAGCACAATTTCACATACTGTATGTTTGAGGTATGTCTGTGGTGGGATTGAGTGTGTGTGTAGGCGAGGAAGGGAAGGGTCATTGTTTCTGAAGCTTAACGACGTCCGCTGGACGGATACAAAGAGGTTATATTTAGCTCCCCTACTCCTCCTCTCTCACAACCTCTCTCACCTCCTCTCACCACCGCCTCTCTCCCCTCCTCTCTCCCCTCCTCTCTCACCTCCTCTCTCCCGAGACCACTTCCTCTCTCACCTCGTCTCTCCCAAGACCACTTCCTCTCTCACCTCGTCTCTCCCGAGACCACTTCCTCTCTCTCCTCCTCTCTCCCGAGACCACTTCCTCTCTCTCCTCCTCTCTCCCGAGACCACTTCCTCTCTCACCTCCTCTCTCCCGAGACCACTTCCTCTCTCACCTCCTCTCTCCCGAGACCACTTCCTCTCTCACCTCCTCTCTCTCGAGACCACCTCTTCTCTCACCTCCTCTCTCCCGAGACCACCACCTCTCTCCCGAGACCACCTCTTCTCTCACCCTCCTCTCTCCCGAGACCACCCCCCTCTCTCCCGAGACCACCTCTTCTCTCACCTCCTCTCTCCCGAGACCACCTCTTCTCTCACCTCCTCTCTCCCGGAGACCACCTCTTCTCTCCACCTCCTCTCTCCGAGGACCACCTCCTCTCTCACTTCCTCTATCCCGAGACCACCTCCTCTCTCACTTCCTCTATCCCGAGACCACCTCTTCTCTCACCTCCTCTCTCCCGAGACCACCTCTTCTCTCACCTCCTCTCTCCCGAGACCACCTCTTCTCTCACCTCCTCTCTCCCGAGACCACCTCCTCTCTCACCTCCTCTCTCCCGAGACCACCTCTTCTCTCACCTCCTCTCTCCCGAGACCACCTCCTCTCTCACTTCCTCTATCCCGAGACCACCTCCTCTCTCACTTCCTCTATCCCGAGACCACCTCTTCTCTCACATCCTCTCTCCCGAGACCACCTCCTCTCTCACCTCCTCTCTCCCGAGACCACCTCCTCCTGCCCCTGCCACTCTGGACAGCCTGGGTCATGATACCCCAGATCGTAGGTGTATTGGTGTATATTATACTGTATTAGGTGCACCGACTCATAACCCATGGTCTGTGTGTGTGTGTGTGTGTGTTTGTGTGTGTCCGGTGCATGTGTGTGCATGTCCGTCTTGTCAGTGCTTGACTTGTACTGCCACCTCACATTTTCTACTGCTTGAGTTCCTGCACCTCTTATAGAATATTAGCTCAAAAGTATTGAGGAGCTCCTGCACCGAAATATCAACTGTGCCGACACCCATTTCAGGCCAAATCAAGCAGGAAGAGAAAAGGGGAACATGGTCAGTTATTATACAGTACTATCCAGGCCTTTGTATGTATAGCTATAAGACTGGTGATAGATTTGTAGACCTATTTATGTCACATTGTGGTCTGCGGTGCTGTTATTTGTATGTGCTCTACGGTGCTGTTATTTGTATGTGCTCTATGGTGCTGTTATTTGTATGTGCTCTACTGTGCTGTTATTTGTATGTGCTCTGCGGAGCTGTTATTTGTATGTGCTCTATGGTGCTGTTATTTGTATGTGCTCTATGGTGCTGTTATTTGTATGTGCTCTGCGGTGCTGTTATTTGTATGTGCTCTGCGGTGCTGTTATTTGTATGTGCTCTGCGGTGCTGTTATTTGTATGTGCTCTGCGGTGCTGTTATTTGTATGTGCTCTGCGGTGCTGTTATTTGTATGTGCTCTGCGGTGCTGTTATTTGTATGTATATTTGCCAGACGACTCAAACTGAATTATTCCGGTTCTCTATCGTTCGCTACATACTTCAGTCTGAGACATTGAAGTCGTTTGTGGTGACGTCAAAATTAGGGGTGTTGTTCTAACCAATCAGAGTATCAAAGCCAATGACGCATTTTCAAAACGCCACAATACCCACGTGTGTTCTGGCTTTGGCCCAACCCATTGGTTACCAATCAGACAGTCTAGAATGGATTTCCATTTTAGAAATCGTCGGGGAGGTACTCAGATCCAGACTCATTGCGGAGAAGAAACGTCCATGGGCGTGGCATAGCATTTTGCCAGAGCAAGGAGTTTGGGTAGCCAGGCAAGAGATAGACAGAGAGAATCATTTTGGGGAGTGTGAGGGTTGTCACAAGGTAATATAACAAAGCCATCACCTACAGAGAAATGAGCCTGTAGAAGAGTCCCCTAAGCAAGCTGGTCCTGGGGCTCTGTTCACAAACACAAACAGACCCCACAGGGGAACAGGACAGCAACACAATTAGATCCAACCAAATCATGAGAAAACAAAAAGATAATTACTTGACACATTGGAAAGAATTACTAGAATGCTATTTGGCCCTAAACAGAGAGTACACAGTGGCAGAATACCTGACCACTGTGACTGACCTAGTTGGCTGTTGGGTTATGATTAGAGTTAGGGTTAGGTTGGCTGAAGATGGAGAGCAGAGAGATATGGCTTATTACAGTACTTCAGCATTCCTTTCTCTCATGGATTAATATGTCAGTGTATGAGTGAGAGACTGAAGAGGAGAGAGGAAAAAGAGCAATGGAGACTGGAGAGGGTTAGAGGATGGATAAAGTTTAACGGCTGTTAAATGTCTTCTACCAGCCCTTGGTGACAATGGTAACATTGGACCCCCCTCCCTCCCTCTCCCTCTCCCTCTCTCCCTTCCACTGTCATTCTTCTCTCCAGCAATGCTCCCGTCGATGAGCCGCACATGGACCGAACTCCACCCCCTCCGCCTCGGACCAGGGTACCCAACACGACAGTCGACACGCAGCCTGCTCTGCCCATGAGAAATATCCCCCAGCCACCCCCTGAAATCAGTGAGTATACTAAACCCCTCCCATCCATCCTTAACCCCACCCCTAACTCCCTAACCTCACCTCTCCCTGATTTAACTCACCTCTTCACCCCTAACGCTACAATCTACCAGCTCCTCCACCTCTTCACCCCTAACGCTACAATCTACCAGCTCCTCCACCTCTTCACCCCTAACACTAAAATCTACTAACTCCTCCACCTCTTCACCCCTAACGCTACAATCTACCAGCTCCTCCACCTCTTCACCCCTAACTCTACAATCTACTAACTCCTCCACCTCTTCACCCCTAACCCTACAATCTACTAACTCCTCCACCCCTTCAACCCTAACCCTACAATCTACTAACTCCTCCACCCCTTCAACCCTAACCCTACAATCTACTAACTCCTCCACCTCTTCACCCCTAACCCTACAATCTACGAACTCTCCACCCCTTCAACCCTACATCACAACCCCCCATCTTCAAACCTAACCCCACAATCTACAACCCCCCCCCTTCAAACCCCCAACCTACTCACTAACTCTCCACCCCCCCTTCCCCCTAACCCCCAAAAAAACCCCCCCCCCTTACCCCCCAACCCTACAAACTCAACTCCCCCACCTTACCCCCCCCCCCAACCTCGTCAACACCCCTAACCCCACAATCACTAACTCCTCCCCCCCCCCCCTTCAATTCAACCCTACCCTACAAATCTCTAACTCCCTCCCCAACTTCACCCCTAACCCCAAAAAACTACAACCCCTCCAACTCTTCACCCCTAAACCTAAATCCAACTCCCCCACCTTTCCCCCCCAAACCCCTAACCCTAAATCTTCCCCCCAATCTCAAAATAACTCCCCCCCCCCCTTCACCCCTACCTAAAACTACTAACCCCCTCCACCTCTTCCCCCAACGCACAAACTAACCACTCCCCCACCTCTTCAAACCCCCAACCTACAACTACACTCCCCCCCCCTTCAAAAACCCAACCCAAATCTACTATTCCCCACCCCTTTTAACCCCCAAACCCCAATCTACACTCCTCCACCCCTTCAAAAAACCCTAACCCAATCTACCAACTTCCTCCCCCCCTTCAAAACCCTAACCTACAACTACATCCCACCCCTTCACCCCCCCAAAATCTACTAACCCTCCCCCCTTCAAAACCCCAACCCCCACATCTAACTCCCCCCTCTTCACCCCTAACCCTACAACTACGAACTCCTCCACCCCCCCTAACCCTAAAACTAACCCCTCCCCCCCTTCACCCAACCCCACAATCTACAACCCTCCCCCCTTCAACCCCCAAAACCCACAATCTACAAATCCTCCCAACCCCCCCCTAAACCCAACCTAACCCCTACATTCACCCCCAAACCCCCAACCCTTTTCCAAAACCCCCCCAAATCACTTTTCTCCCCCCCCCCTTCAAAACCCCAACCCAAAAATCTAAAACTCCTCACCCTCTCACCCCCAACCCTACAATCTACTTCCCTCCACCCTTCAACCCTAACCCTACAATTATAACCCCCACCCTTCAACCCTAAACCCCACAATCACTAACTCCCCACCCTTTAACCCTAAACCCACAACTACTAACTCCCCCCCTTCACCCCAAACCTACAATCACTAACTCCTCCACTTCCCAACCCCCAAACCCCACAATTCCCCCACCCTTTCCCCAACCCCCAAACCCCTAAACCTGCCCCCCCCCCCCCCTTCCCTCCCCCCCTTCAACCCTAACCCCAAAATCTACTAAACCCCTCCACCCCTAAACCCCAACCCCAACAATCTACAAACTCCCCACCCCTTACCCCCCCTAACCCTACAATCTACTAACTCCTCCCCCCCTTTTACCCCTAACCCTAAATCTCAACCCCCTCCACCTCTTTCCCAAATTCAAATTCACCCCAACCCCTAACCCTACTCTACTTTTAACCCCTTCCCTTCTTTCCCTCCACCCCTTAAAACCCTCCCCAACTTACAACCCTCCCCCACCTCTTAAACCCTAACCCAAAAATCTCTAACTCCTCCCACCCCCCCTTCACCCCTAACCCTACAATCTACTAACTCCTATTTTCCCCCCCTCCCTTCCAACCCTTTCCACCCCTTTAAACCCTAAATCAAAAACTAACTCCTCCACCTCTTCAACCCCAAACCCCCAACCAATCTACAAACCTCCCTCCCCCCCCCTTAAACCCCAAACCCAAAATCTACAAACCCCCCCACCCTTAAACCCCCTAACCCTAAATCTAAAAACCCCTCCACCCTTCAACCCAAACCCAAAAATCTACAAACCCCCTCCCCCCTCTTCAACCCCTAACCCACAACCCTTCAAAACCCTAACTCCTCCCCCAACCCCCCCTTTTCCCCCAACCCCCTTTTAACCCTACAATCTATTTAATCCCCCAACCTCTTAAACCCCTAACCCTAAAGCACTAACTCCTCCCCCCTTAAACCCCTAAAATCAAAAAAACCCTCCCCCCACCTCTTAAACCCTAACCCAAAAATCTCTACCCGTCCTCCCCCCTTTCACCCCTAACCCTAAAATCAAACAAACTCCTCCCCCCCTTTCCCCCTAACCCTAATCTCAAACTCCTCCCCCTTTTAAACCCCTAACCCCTAAAAAATCTACTAACTCCCCCAACCCCTTAAACCCCCCTAACCCTACAACCCTACAAACTCCTCCCCTTTTTAAACCCCCCAAAACCCTCCAAACAAACAACCCCTCCTCCACTTTTCCCCCCCCCTTACAATCTATTTAATTCCCCCAACCCTTAAACCCCCCCCCAAACAATCTATTCTACAAAACCTTTTCCAAAACCCCCTTTAAACCCTTACAATCTACAATTCCCCCACCTTCACCCTAACCCTCCCAATCTACTAAACCTTTCCCCCCCTTAACCCTTTCCTCAACCCTAAACCCCCTTAACCCCTTTACAATCTACAAATTTCCCCACCTTTTTAAACCCCAACCCACAATCTACAAAACCTCCTCCCCCTTTTTCAACCCAAACCCTCCCAACACTAACCCCTTCCCCCTTAAACCCAAACCCTTTTTAAAATCTTTAACCCCCCTTTTCCACCCCAACCTAATCTCCCTAACTCCTCCCCCTTTTTCCTTCACCCCAACCCCTAAAAACCCTACAAAACCTCCTCCCCCCCCTTTCCCCCCCAAACCCCCAAAAATCTACTAACCCCCAAACCTTCCCCCCCCTTAACCCTACAATCTCAAACCCTCCCCCCCCCCTTAAAAAACCCAACCCAACAATCTCTCCTCCCCACCCCTTCACCCCCTTCCCCCCTAAACCAAACAATTTCCTTTTTAATTCCTCCCCCCTTCCCCCCTAACCCTAAAATCTACTCCCTCTCCACCTCTTCCCCCAACCCACAATCTAAAAAACTCCCCCCCCCCCTTTTCCCAACCCAAACCCCAACAACCCACAAACCCTCCTCCCCTTTTCCCCCCCCAAAACCCCTACAATCTACAACCCTCCTCCACCTCTTAAAAACCCTAAAATCTACTTTTTTCCCTCCCCTCTTAAAACCCAAAAACCCTCCCCATCTACAACCCCTCCCCCCTTCAACCCCCACAATCAAACTAACTCCTCCACCTCTTAAACCCCCAAAACCCAAACAATCTCCCAACCCCTCCCCCGTTTCCCAAACATTAAAATCCAACCCCCCTTAAACCCTCCCAATCTACTACTCCCCCCGTTTTAAACCCAAAACCCTCCAATCTACAACTCCTCTACCCCTTCAACCCAACCCTTAAAATTTTACAAAATTCCTCCACCTTTTTAAAACCCCAAACCCAAAACCCTTACAACCCCTTACAAACTCCTCCCCTTTTAAACCCCCCCTCCCACTAATTTAACCTCCCCCACCTCTTCACCTCAAAAACCCAAACAATCTACAAAATCCTGCTTCTTAAAAACCTCCCCCAAACCTTACAATTACTAATTCCCTACCCTTCATTTCCACCCTAAACCCTAAATCACTAACTCCTCCACCCCTTAAACCCTTACAATCAAACAAACCCCCCTAAAACCCCTTAAAACCCCAAAAATCTACTAACCCCCCCCCTCTTCAACCCTAAACCCTACAACCTCCAAACTCCCCCCCCCTTAAACCCAAAACCCAAACAACGACTAACCCCTTTCCCCCCCCTTTAAAAACCCAAACCCTACAAATCTTTTTTAACTCCCTCCACCCCTTCAACCCCCCAACCTACTAACTCCCCCATTCTTCACCCCCCCCCCTACAACTACTAATTCCCCCAAACCCTTCAACCCAACCCAACAATCTCAACCCCTCCCCCCTCTTAAACCCCTCCCTCAATCTTTTTAACTCCTCCCCCCCCTTCAACCCTAACCCAACAATCACAAACTCCTCCACCTTTCCCCCCCTAACCCTACAACCCACTAATTCCCCTCCCCCCCCTTAAAAAAGCCCCCTTTAAACCCTAAAATCTCCAAAAATCCTCCCCCTCTTCAACCCTAACCCCTACAATCAAAATACTCCTCCACCCCTTAAACCCCAAACCCCCAACAATCTACAAAACTCCCCTTTTTCCCCCCAAACCCTTTTTTTTCCCCCCCTTTTAACCCCCAATCTACAAACCCCTCCACCTTTGCCACCCCAAACCCCTACAATTTTACAAAACTCCTCCACCCTTTCACCCCAAACCCTCCAATCTATTTAACCCCCCCCCAAAATAACTCCTCCCCCCACCTCTTAAACCTTTTAAACCCTCCCCAATCTACAAAACCCTCCACCCTTCTTTCACCCCCCCCCCCCAAACTCAAACTAAACCCCTCCCCCTTTCCCCCCAAACCCTACAATCTACAAACTCCCCTCCCCCAAACCCCTCCCCCACCCCCTTAAACCTTTTAAACCCCTAACCCTATAAAATCTACTAACCCTCCCCCCTTTTTTAAACCCCAAACCCCTAAAATTTTAAACTCCTCCCCCCTTAAAAACCCAAACCCCCAAAATCTACTAACTCCCTCCCCTCTTCACCCAAACCCCTTTAACAATCTACTAACCCCTTTCCCCCCTTTTAAACCCCTAACCCTAAAATCTTTTCCCCCCCCTCCCTTCCCCCCCTCCCTTTATCCCCCCCCCCCAACCCTACTCTACAAACCCCTCCTCCACCCCTTTCAACCCTCCCCCAACAATCAAACTCTCCTCCACCTTTTCCCCCAAACCCCTACAACTACTAACTCCTCCCCCCTTCAACCCAAACCCTAAATCTCTAGTTTCCCCCCCCCTTTTCACCCCAACCCCTACAATCTACTAACTTCCTCCACCTCTTAAACCCCTAACCCCCCAAACCCTACTAACTCCTCCCCCCAAACCCTAAAAACTACTAAACTCCCCAACCCTTTCCCAATCTCTTAAACCCTAACCTAAAATCTACAAACCCTCCCTCCACTTCTTCACCCCTAACCCTACAATCTACACCTCCCTCCCCCCTTTAAAAACCCTAACCCTAAAATCTACAAAATCCCCCACCTTTAAAACCCAAACCCTACAATCACTAACCCTCCCCCTCTTCATCCCAAACCCCCTCAATCACTAACTCCTCCCCCTCTTAAACCCAAACCCTAAAAACTAAAACTCCCCACCTCTTAAACCCCCAACCCACAACAAACCCAACCTCCCCCCTCCCTTTTTAAACCCCTAACCCTAAAATTTTACAAACCCCCCTCCCCCCTTTCAACCCTAACCCTCCAATCTACTAATTTCCCCAAACCTTTTTCAACCCCCTACCCAAACACCCCCTTTAAACCTCCCCCTTCCTCCCCACCTCTTAAACCCAACCCCACAATCTACTAACCCCCTCCCCCCTTTTCACCTCTTAAAACCCTAACCCTACAATCACACCCCCTCCACTTCTTCACCCCAAACCCCCCAACTACAAAACCCCTCCCCCTTTTCTTCCCCCTAACCCTAAAATCTACTAACTCCCCACCTCTTCCCCCCTAACCCTACAATCTACAAATTCCCCCCCTCTCCCCCAAACCCCTAAAATTTCCTCCAAAACCCCCCCCTCCCCCCCCCTTAACCCCTTTCAACCAAACCCCCCCCTTCCCCCAAAACCCTACAATCTTAACTCCTCATTCTCTCTTCTACATGTTTTTTTTTTTTTTTTGTCGTTAATAAAGTCTTCACCCAAGATGTTGGATGTCCCCCTTCCCTTTTCCTCTTTTCAAACTGTAATTTGACCTATCAATATAAAAAAAACCTGATATTTTTTGTTTCTACTTTGTCTACTAGCAAATTTGGGGCGCAGTGTGGACAGAGAGAGACTTGGGAAAAATTTTTTTTTTGAAAAAAAATTTTTTTTTTCCCCCCTTTTTCCCCCCCCCCTTTTTCCCCCCCCTTTTTTTTTGGGGAAATTTTTTTTTCCCTTTTTTTCCCCCCCTTCTCTCTTTCTTCTTCCCCCTTTTTTCCCCCCCCTTTTTCTTCCCCCTTTTTTTCTTTCTCTTTTTTTTTTTTCCCCCCCCCCCTTTCTCTTTTCTCTTTTCCCCCCCCCCCCCTCTCCTTTTCCTTCCCCCTCCCCCCCCCCCGGGGGGGGCCCCTTTTTTTTCCCCCCCCCCAAAAAATTTCCCCCCCCTTTTTGGGGTTTTTTTTTTTTTTTTTGGGGTTTTTTTTTTTTTTTTTTTTCCCCTTTTTTAAAATTTTTTTCCCCCCTTTCCCCTTTGGGGGGGGGCCCCCCCCCCCCCCCCCTTTTTTTTTTGGGGGCCCCCCCCCCCCCTTTTTTTTTTTCCCCCCTTTTTTTTTCCCCCCCAAAAAATTTTTTTTTTTTTTCCCCCCCCCCCCTTTTTTTTGGGTTTTTTTCCCCCCCCCCCCTTTCTCCCTTTTTCCCCCCCCCCTTTTTTTTTTTTTTCCGGTTTTTTGTTTCCCTTTTTTTCCCCCCTTTTTCCCCTTTTTTCCCCCCCCCCCCCCCCCCCCCTTTTCCCCCCCCCTTTTTTTTCCCCCCCTTTTTCCCCCCTTTTTTTTTTTTTCCCCCCCCCCCCCCCCCCGGGCCCCCTTTTTTTTTCCCCCCCTTTGGTCAGGGAAAAGGGGGGGTTTAAGGGAAAAACCCGGGGGAACCCTTTCCCCCCGGGTTTGGGGGTTTTTTTTTTTTTTTAAAATCCAAATTTTTTTTGTTTTTTTGGGGGGGGTTTTTTTTTAAAGGGTTTTTTTTTTTTGGGGGGGTTTTGGGGGGGGGGGGTGTTTTTTTTCCCCCCCGGGGGAAAAATTGGGGTTTTTTTCCCCCTTTTTAAATTTTTCCTTGGGAAAGGGGGGAAAAAAAATCTATCTCTCTATCTCTCTCGCTCTCGCTCTCGCTCTCGCTCTCGCTCTCGCTCTCGCTCTCTCTCAGGGTCAGGTCACAGTTCAGATGACCATGAGGATCCAGATCAAGTCTACCCCAAGCCCAAGTCTGTGAACATGGCAGACAGAGTAAGAGTGTGTGTGTGTACTTTGAGTATATACTAGAGTGCTGTAATGTTATTTTGTTGCTGTTTGTCAGTGATGGCTGTGTTGTCCAATAGGATGTGTTCCTGCCGGTGCCGGGGTGGGGGAAGGGGAAGGGGCGGTGCAGTTCTCTCTGCAGCGACGATGAACTATTGGATGATGACAACGAGCCAATCAGCAGCCTGTGAGTCTCCCCTGACCTCTGGTGACATCTTTGTTCCTGTAGAGCGAGGGAGAGAGGGAATAACTCTTCCTCTCTCTCTCTTTCCCTCTCTCCCGCCTCACTTTCTGTCTTTCTCTCGCTCCCATCTCTTTCTCGCTAATTCTCCTTTTCTCTCAGTCGGAGCTCGTGGCAGGACTATGGTCTGAGTACGCTCCAGGGTAGTGTCTACCTGCCGGTCAGAGGCAGGGTCCTAGCCCCGCCCCCTAGAGATGGCCCCTCCCCTGAACCCTGCCCTGTTCTAAAGATGGGCTGGCTGGATAAGAACCCAACCCAGGGGTACGTAACGGACACACAAACACACACACACACACACAGACATCCAGTATATGACCCCTAACTGTGTGTATGTGTGTGCAGGTCCCTGTACTATCAGAGGAGATGGGTGAAGCTGGATGTTGACTACCTGAGATACTTTGACAACGACAAGGTGCGGTAGCCATCAGTTGGCCATCTACGCTGTTCTGTTAGTCTATACATTAACTAGGTCAGAATGGTAGAGTGGATTAGTGTTTCTCAGAGATGTTGTTTCTCTATTGATGGTCTGGCTGTGTGTGTGTGTGTGTGTGTGTGTGTGTGTGTGCGTGTGTGTGCGCGACTGAGTGAGAGTGGTCCTATGAGTCATGGTGTGTTGTGTTGCAGGAAGTGTACTCTAAGAGGATCATACCAATGGCTGTCATTACGGGGGTGACCAACGTGGGGGAGCAGAAGTTTGAGGTGGTCACAGCCAGCCGGACCTTTCTCTTCAAAGCCGAGAGCGACTGTGAGTCCCTGTGTGTGTGTGTGTGTGTACATCCTTTGTTGCTCTTCTCTGGTTGTCAGCCCAGGAACCTTCACCACAGGTAAACAGCACCATGGTTTAATACACAGGGACTAGGTCCCTCGGTGCACTCTTCTCTTCTGTGATATCATTGCTAGAAGTAAGTTAATGTTAGCCAGATAATAGGAAGTATTATACTGTGTGTTAATGGGAACTGTGTGTCTGTCTTTATATTGCCCTGTGGTGTGCTGGTTGTGTAACAGAGAGATGAGAAACAGATAGAGTTCTCTTTGGGCCTGAAAATTACAGCCCGGTCCGACCCAAGCCCGGTCCGATATCACAGAAATGTAATGAGCCCAAACCCCGATTTCTAGAAAACAGTATATTGATTTAAACTGGTGTTGAGAACAATGCGGCCGGCGGAGGCGGGTCACAGCTGAGTGAGGAGACGAGGAATCAGCCCTGGTCTTAGAAAAGTGCAGAGAGGAAAACTCACCTTAGTTATGATCAGCGACCAACATATGGGAATAAAGTAAGCTAATGCAATTGAAGCCATGTATCATGTTGTTGCTTACTGAAACTCCCAAAGTCATATCCATAATAATTAAAGCAATGGTCAACTAGATGATCATTTCAACACCGTTTTGATGTGAAGAGCGTGGGGGGGGACTCGTCTTGATAAATCAATCAAAGTCAATTGGTTTTCACTGATTCTCCGTTTGGGATATTTGGTAACGTATAGGCTGGGGAAATGTTAGCTAAGTTAAGGTGAGTGCTAATGATCATCTTTATTCTAGTTTGCTGATATATTAGCTGATCAGAACAGTTTGCTAGCATGTTATGCTCTTCACACTATCCTACTCCTGATGACCAAAAGCCTGTGACTTGTCTAATAATCAATCAATGTGATTTTGTTTAACTGAATCTCCATCTGTATATTTGGTTAATTGATCTCTGGCTGGACAGACAAGTGGAGGTGGTATAGCTAATTTATTCATTTGCTCATCTATCACTGATCAGAAACATTTAGCATGCAATAATGTAGCCTAAATCAACTGTATTATTTTGCTCTTGACTCATGTACAGTGAGGGAAAAAAGTATTTGATCCCCTGCTGATTTTGTACGTTTGCCAACTGACAAAGATCAGTCTATAATTTTCATGGTAGGTTTATTTGAACAGTGAGAGACAGAATAACAACAAAAAAATCCAGAAAAAAACGCATGTCAAAAATGTTATAAATTGATTTGCATTTTAATGAGGGAAATAAGTATTTGACCCCTCTGCAAAACATGACTTAGTACTTGGTGGCAAAACCCTTGTTGGCAACCAGAGGTCAGACGTTTCTTGTAGTTGGCCACCAGGTTTGCATACATCTCAGGAGGGATTTTGTTCCACTCCTCTTTGCAGATCTTCTCCAAGTCATTAAGATTTCGAGGCTGACTTTTGGCAACTCGAACCTTCAGCTCCCTCCACAGATGTTCTATGGAATTAAGGTCTGGAGACTGGCTAGGCCACTCCAGGACCTTAATGTGCTTCTTCTTGAGCCACTCCTTTGTTGCCTTGGCCGTGTGTTTTGGGTCATTGTCATGCTGGAATATCCATCCACACGACCCATTTTCAATGCCCTGGCTGAGGGAAGGAGGTTCTCACCCAAGATTTGACGGTACATGGCCCCGTCCATCGTCCCTTTGATGCGGTGAAGTTGCCCTGTCCCCTTAGCAGAAAAACACCCCCAAAGCATAATGTTTCCACCTCCATGTTTGACGGTGGGGATGGTGTTCTTGGGGTCATAGGCAGCATTCCTCCTCCTCCAAACACGGCGAGTTGAGTTGATGCCAAAGAGCTCCATTTTGGTCTCATCTGACCACAACACTTTCACCCAGTTCTCCTCTGAATCATTCAGATGTTCATTGGCAAACTTCAGACGGCCCTGTATATGTGCTTTCTTGAGCAGGGGGACCTTGCGGGCGCTGCAGGATTTCAGTCCTTCATGGCGTAGTGTGTTAACAATTGTTTTCTTGGTGATTATGGTCCCAGCTGCCTTGAGATCATTGACAAGATCCTCCCGTGTAGTTCTGGGCTGATTCCTCACCGTTCTCATGATCATTGCAACGCCACGAGGTGAGATCTTGCATGGAGCCCCAGGCCGAGGGAGATTGACAGGTCTTTTGTGTTTCTTGAATTTGCGAATAATCGCACCAACTGTTGTCACCTTCTCACCAAGCTGCTTGGCGATGGTCTTGTAGCCCATTCCAGCCTTGTGTAGGTCTACAATCTTGTCCCTGACATCCTTGGAGAGCTCTTTGGTCTTGGCCATGGTGGAGAGTTTGGAATCTGATTGATTGATTGCTTCTGTGGACAGGTGTCTTTTATACAGATAACAAACTGAGATTAGGAGCACTCCCTTTAAGAGTGTGCTCCTAATCTCAGCTCGTTACCTGTATAAAAGACACCTGGGAGCCAGAAATCTTCCTGATTAAGAGGGGGTCAAATACTTATTTCCCTCATTAAAATGCAAATCAATTTATAACATTTTTGACATGCGTTTTTCTGGATATTTTTGTTTTTATTCTGTCTCTCACTGTTCAAATAAACCTACCATTAAAATTATAGACTGATAATTTCTTTGTCAGTGGGAAAACGTACAAAATCAGCAGGGGATCAAATACTTTTTTCCCTCACTGTATAGGCTATAGTAGCCTTATATAATCTATCCAACGTCGAGCTGTGAAAGCGCGTCCTGTTTCATCATTAGCAGAACAGTCATATGGTGTATTTTGTAAGGATGTATCGGCGTTAACAGATGCCATTAGAATATGGGCTTCTCCTGATTCTGTCTGGTGGGTCATCATTCTCCCAAGTCTCCAGCCTATAGCTTATTGCAATTTGGAACATTTAAATCAACAGACAAAATGCTTTCATCATGGCCACAAATGTCTCTGGCCCAGCCATTATTGGAATCCTGGCGCCGCTAATCTCTGCAGCTGTTGCTGCTGAAAGAGAGTCGTAGTAGGCTAAAAGGTGCACAGACACGCACAGTTTTTTTTTTTCTTAACACAAAACAGCAAGCCCGAAACCCACCCGGCCCGAATCAGCCCCATCGGGATCAGAACGAGAACTCTAGAAACAGAAACTAATCTGCCCATAATGCATCAGGATCAAGCTGTTCATATCACACTGCTGCATGCTAAATCCCTCTTCTTCTGTGTGCGTGTGTGCGTGCGTGCGCGCGTGTGTGTGTGTGTGTGTGTGTGCGTGTGCGTAGCTGAAAGGAATGAGTGGGTGTCAGTTCTGCAGGACTTCACTTGGGGCCGCCAGGAGGGCAGCAGGGAGATTACCTCTCTGACCCCTGGTTCGCCCCTGACCCCTGAACAGCAGGGCTACCTGGAGCTGAGGGGCCTGCGCTCCAAACTCTATACGGTCGTCTCCGGAGACAAGGTCTTCCTCTACAAGAACATGGAGGTGTGTGTGTGTGTGTGTGTGTGTGTTTTCAAATACAAATATGTACATACTCCATGCATTTTAACCCTAGTCTGTTTGGCCCTAGGGCTATTTGAAACAATGGGTGTTTCTCAATATGAATACTACCATGCTCCACACGCTCATGCTCCGAATGTATTCTCCGACCACGTTTTCTTGACTGCGTTCTTGTGAGGACGAGAGTGTGGAGAATGCATAAAACATTACATTTGAGAAGCACTCGCTCTCCCCCTACTGTATTACCTCCCGCTGCACCTCCCCATTCACTGAACCTTCTTCCAGCCAGGACAATGGCAACAAAGCAAACGTTTTACTTCATAATTATCAGCTAGAATGAGTGAATGTGAATCGTAATAATCTAGCTAGCCAGCTAGTTAAACAGGCAAAAATGACCTAAAACGAATATTATGCAAGATTGATGTCAATTCTTCGTGGGTAGCTAGCTAACGATTCTTAGTGGCTATCTGGATAGCTAACAGTACTAGTAGCTAGCCAGTTAGCCCTATTGACTTATTATGGGCTTGCGATCTACGGTACATAGACAGGTAAACATGCCAAAATTAACAAAGCATTTATTTAATAACGTATCAAGATATAATATTGCAGTCAGGCAACATATGAGATGTGAATGGGCAACATTTTATTCCGAAGTAGGAGTGTATTTTCTCTCACTTCAGCTCAAATAATGTCCGCCATTGATTAAAAAAATATAATTGTCATTTTTTACGTGGTTGCGTCATATTTTTTTGCATACTTTCCGTTGAAGCTTGCATCGATGCATGCTTCAAAATATGTACAAACTGAGTATGCATTCGAGAAGTGCCCTCCGTGCTCCATTTCGCATACTTTGATTTGGACTCATAAGTATTCAGACTTTTTCCACATTTTGTTACGTTACAGCCTTATTCTAAAATGTATTAAATTGTTTTTTTCCCTCATCAATCTACACACAATACCCCATAATGACAAAGCAAAAACAGGTTTTTAGACATTTTAGCAAATGTATAAAAAATACAAAACTGAAATATCACATTTACATAAGTAGTCAGACCTTTTACTCAGTACTTTGTTGAAGCACTTTTGGCAGCGATTACAGCCTTGAGTCTTCTTGGGTAAGACACTACAAGCTTGGCACACCTGTATTTGGCGAGTTTCTCCCATTCTTCTCTGCAGATCCTCTCAAGCTCTGTCAGGTTGGATGGGGAGCGTTGCTGCACAGCTATTTTCAGGTCTCTCCGGAGATGTTCGATCGGGTTCAAGTCCGGGCTCTGGCTGGGCCACTTAAGGACATTCAGAGACTTGTCCCGAAACCACTCCTGCGTTGTCTTGGCTGTGTGCTTAGGGTCGTTGTCCTGTTGAAAGGTGAACCTTCGCCCCAGTCAGAGGTCCTGAGCGCTCTGGAGCAGGTTTTCATCAAGGATCTTTCTGTACTTTGCGCCATTCATCTTTCCCTCGATCCTGACTAGTCTCCCAGTCCCTGCTGCTGAAAAACATCCCCACAGCCTGATGCTGCCACCACCATGCTTCACCGTAGGGATGGTGACGCTTGGCATTCAGGCCATAGTGTTCAATCTTGGTTTCATCAGACCAGAGAATCTTGTTTCTCATGGTCTGAGAGTCTTTAGGTGCCTTTTTGGCAAACTCCAAGCAGGCTTTCGTGCCTTTTACTGAGGAGTGTCTTCCATCTGGCTGGGTTTATCACTATGGCCTGAATGCCATAGTGATAAACCACTCACTGGGTTTATGTGTGTGTGATGAAATGGGCATCTGACCTGTCTTCGGATCAAATTCTACAGTTATCTTATTAGTGACTGAAACCAGGCTGAACCCTTTTTCTCTCCTTGAGCGTTTTCCTGATTAAATTACAGCGTGACGGGGTGGGACAGAGGGGTTAGGCTTGGTTATGTTTGAGAGATTGATTGTGGACCTACCATGTCCACAGTCAATCTCCAGGTCAAGCCAGGGTGAGCCAGGGTTGAACAAAGTTGAAACTGAACAGTATTATTTTTACATGACAGGGCTGTTATTTGTACATGACAAAGCTTTATTGGTCACACCATCATTGTTTCCAAACTGAATACATAGAAGGAGGAGAAGTCAAATTTCGCACACTATCATAAATTAAGGAAGTGGGCAGAGCTGTCAAGAGGTGAAAACTGGAGATGGTGGTGGAACCAAAGAGGGAGGGGTTAAGCTAAAATGTATGTAAAATGATATACAGTGGGGAAAAAAAGTATTTAGTCAGCCACCAATTGTGCAAGTTCTCCCACTTAAAAAGATGAGAGAGGCCTGTAATTTTCATCATAGGTACACGTCAACTATGACCGACAAAATGAGAAAAAAAAATCCAGAAAATCACATTGTAGGATTTTTAATGAATTTGCAAATTATGGTGGAAAATAAGTATTTGGTCAATAACAAAAGTTTCTCAATACTTTGTTATATACCCTTTGTTGGCAATGACACAGGTCAAACGTTTTCTGTAAGTCTTCACAAGGTTTTCACACACTGTTGCTGGTATTTTGGCCCATTCCTCCATGCAGATCTCCTCTAGAGCAGTGATGTTTTGGGGCTGTCGCTGGGCAACACGGACTTTCAACTCCCTCCAAAGATTTTCTATGGGGTTGAGATCTGGAGACTGGCTAGGCCTCTCCAGGACCTTGAAATGCTTCTTACGAAGCCACTCCTTCGTTGCCCGAGCGGTGTGTTTGGGATCATTGTCATGCTGAAAGACCCAGCCACGTTTCATCTTCAATGCCCTTGCTGATGGAAGGAGGTTTTCACTAGAAATCTCACGATACATGGCCCCATTCATTCTTTCCTTTACACGGATCAGTCGTCCTGGTCCCTTTGCAGAAAAACAGCCCCAAAGCATGATGTTTCCACCCCCATGCTTCACAGTAGGTATGGTGTTCTTTGGATGCAACTCAGCATTCTTTGTCCTCCAAACACGACGAGTTGAGTTTTTACCAAAAAGTTCTATTTTGGTTTCATCTGACCATATGACATTCTCCCAATCCTCTTCTGGATCATCCAAATGCACTCTAGCAAACTTCAGACGGGCCTGGACATGTACTGGCTTAAGCAGGGGGACACGTCTGGCACTGCAGAATTTGAGTCCCTGGCGGCGTAGTGTGTTACTGATGGTAGGATTTGTTACTTTGGTCCCAGCTCTCTGCAGGTCATTCACTAGGTCCCCCCGTGTGGTTCTGGGATTTTTGCTCACCGTTCTTGTGATCATTTTGACCCCACGGGGTGAGATCTTGCGTGGAGCCCCAGATCGAGGGAGATTATCAGTGGTCTTGTATGTCTTCCATTTCCTAATAATTGCTCCCACAGTTGATTTCTTCAAACCAAGCTGCTTACCTATTGCAGATTCAGTCTTCCCAGCCTGGTGCAGGTCTACAATTTTGTTTCTGGTGTCCTTTGACAGCTCTTTGGTCTTGGCCATAGTGGAGTTTGGAGTGTGACTGTTTGAGGTTGTGGACATGTGTCTTTTATACTGATAACAAGTTCAAACAGGTGCCATTAATACAGGTAACGAGTGGAGGACAGAGGAGCCTCTTAAAGAAGAAGTTACAGGTCTGTGAGAGCCAGAAATCTTGCTTGTTTGTAGGTGACCAAATACTTATTTTCCACCATAATTTGCTAATAAATTCATTACAAATCCTACAATGTGATTTTCTGGATTTTCTTTTCTCATTTTGTCTGTCATAGTTGACGTGTACCTATGATGAAAATTACAGGCCTCTCTCATCTTTTTAAGTGGGAGAACTTGCACAATTGGTGGCTGACTAAATAAAAATGTTCCCCACTGTAGATAGGCTAGAAATGTTTTAGCAGTTTTTTTTGTGGAGGTTGCATTCAATTGCCAATCCCTGTTGCACACAACAAGCTTAGATTCCCCCTGGCACAAGCGGATTTATGGCCGAATTAAGAAGAAATCGTCAACCCTGTTACGGTCAACCCTGTTACGGTCAACCCTGTTACTTTATTTAGCACTTGATTGACACTTATTATAGTAAAACATTTTATGTGAGATGGGAAGACGTGTTTGTTATGAATTTGAACATGTGCTCTTTATGACAATGTTAAAATGAGATGAAATCCAACGATTTTTTTTAAACCAAGTTACACATCTCCAAAGGCACCGAATTGATGGAACAACCTATTTATTGGAAGTTATTATAAAATACTTTAAAATACTTAAAATAAAACTTGCTGATTTGACCACATTATTTAGAAAATACTCAAATGCACAGAAAATAAGTATCTATGGCTGCATTTAGACAGGCAGCCCAATTCTGATATTTGTTTCACTAATTGGTCTTTTGACCAATCAGATCAGCTCCGAAAAAGATCTTATGTGAAAATATCCGATGTGATTGGTCAAAAGACCAATTATTGGAAAAAAGATCAGAATTGGGCTGCCTGTATAAACGCAGCCTAAAAAACAAATACTTAAATATGCATGTATTTTAACCCAGCTCTGATCTTAACGAGAGCTGATCTAATTGGTTGTTTTAGTGGGTGATATCAGCTGTGTGATGTGTGTGTTCTGCTTCCAGGACTACCGCCTTGGCATCGGCATCACGTCTATCGACATGAACGTAGGAAACGTTAAAGTCACTGACCGCCGCAGCTTTGATCTGACCACACCCTACCGCATCTTCAGGTTTACACACACACACACGCACACGCACACATTCAGAAACACAAACAGCAAGGTTAGAGAGAGAGTGGTCAGCTTGACCGGATGAGTGTTTCTGTGTGTGTGGTTCTGTGTGTGTGTGTGTGGTTCTGCGTGTGTGTGGTTCTGTGTATGTGTGTGTGGTTCTATGTGTGTGTGTGGTTCTGTGTGTGACTGAAGTGTGTGTGACTGAATAGAAGAGGAAGGACTAAACCGAGGGTCTGCGTCAAGCTGTTCAGAGGCCACATCTGTCTGTGTGTGTGTGTCTGTGTGTGTGTCTGTGTGTGTGTGTCTGTGTGTGTGTCTGTAGAACAAGAGGGTGTGTGAGAGAGGTCGGACATTTCTCAGTGTTCAGAGACCTCTAAACCTTTCACATGTCCAGCCAAAAAGTCTCACAGATCTCTCCATTCAAATCAAATCAAATCACATTTTATTGGCCACATGCGCCGAATACAACAGGTGCAGACATTACAGTGAAATGCTTACTTACAGCTCTTAACCAACAGTGCATTTATTTTAAATAAAAGAGTAAAATAAAACAACAACAAAAAAAGTGTTGAGAAAAAAAGAGCAGAAGTAAAATAAAATAACATTAGGTAGGCTATATATATATACAGGGGGGGTACCGGTACAGAGTCAATGTGCGGGGGGCACCGGCTAGTTGAGGTAGTTGAAGTAAATGTACATGTGGGTAGAGTTAAAGTGACTATGCATAAATAATTAACAGAGTAGCAGCAGCGTAAAAATATGGGGTGGGGGGGCAGTGCAAATAGTCCGGGTAGCCATGATTAGCTGTTCAGGAGTCTTATGGCTTGGCGGTAGAAGCTGTTGAGAAGTATTTTGGACCTAGACTTGGCACTCCGGTACCGCTTGCCGTGCGGTAGCAGAGAGATCAGTCTATGACTAGGGTGGCTGGAGTCTTTGACAATTTTGAGGGCCTTCCTCTGACACCGCCTGGTATAGAGGTCCTGGATGGCAGGAAGCTTGGCCCCAGTGATGTACTGGGCCGTACGCACTACCCTCTGTAGTGCCTTGCGGTCGGAGGCCAAGCAGTTGCCATACCAGGCGGTGACGCAACCAGTCAGGATGCTCTCGATGGTGCAGCTGTATAATTTTTTGAGGATCTGAGGACCCATGCCAAATCTTTTCAGTCTCCTGAGGGGGAATAGGCTTTGTCATGCCCTCTTCACGACTGTCTTGGTGTGTTTGGACCATGATAGTTCGTTGGTGATGTGGACACCAAGGAACTTGAAGCTCTCAACCTGTTCCACTACAGCCCCGTCGATGAGAATGGGGGCGTGCTCAGTCCTCTTTTTTTTTCCTGTAGTCCACAATCATCTCCTTTGTCTTGGTCACGTTGAGGGAGAGGTTGTTATCCTGGCACCACACTGCCAGGTCTCTGACCTCCTCCCTATAGGCTGTCTCATCGTTGTCGGTGATCAGGCCTACCACTGTTGTGTCGTCGGCAAACTTAATGATGGTGTTGGAGTCGTGCCTGGCCATGCAGTCATGGGTGAACAGGGAGTACAGGAGGGGACTGAGCACGCACCCCTGAGGGGCCCCCGTGTTGAGGATCAGTGTGGCAGATGTGTTGTTACCTACCCTTACCACCTGGGGGCGGCCCGTCAGGAAGTCCAGGATCCAGTTCCAGAGGGAGGTGTTTAGTCCCAGGATCCTTAGCTTAGTGATGAGCTTTGAGGGCACTATGGTGTTGAATGCTGAGCTGTAGTCAATGAATAGCATTCTCACGTAGGTGTTCCTCTTGTCCAGGTGGGAAAGGGCAGGGTGGAGTGCAATAGCGATTGCATCATCTGTGGATCTGTTGGGACGGTATGCAAATTGGAGTGGGTCTAGGGTTTCTGGGATAATGGTGTTGATGTGAGCCATGACCAGCCTTTCAAAGCATTTCATGGCTACAGACGTCAGTGCTACGGGTCGGTAGTCATTTAGGCAGGTTATCTTAGTGTCCTTGGGCACGGGGACTATGGTGGTCTGCTTGAAACATGTTGGTATTACAGACTCATGTCAACATTTGTTTGATTTGTGTGTGTGTGTGTGTGTGTGTAGTTTTCTAGCGGATTCGGAACAACATAAGGAGCAGTGGGTAGAAGCGATGCGTGACGCGATTGGAGAGGCTCTGTCCAATAGCGAGGTGGCTAATCGAATCTGGGTGGAGCCTAGCAACGGTTGCTGTGCCGACTGTGGCGCCACCAAACCTGAGTGGGCTGCCATCAACCTGTGTGTGGTGGTCTGCAAACGCTGTGCAGGTGTGTGTGTGTTTATTATCAGACAGTTGTAGAATTTCAGATCCACTGACCTTTGGTTGGACCTATTTGTCTATTATACACAGAATGCAGTCATAGAATTATGTCTATTTTACATGTTTGTGTGTCTGTGTATGTGTTGTAGGAGAGCATCGGGGTTTGGGCCCCAGCATCTCTAAGGTACGCAGTCTGAAGATGGACAGGAAGGTGTGGACAGAGGAGCTTATACAGGTATATACACACACACACACACACACACATATATACACACGCACACATATACACACACACACACACTCACAGAGACAGACAGACATCCAGACAGACACACAGAGATACACACACACACAGTGTTTTGGTGTCCCTATCTATCCCCCCCTCCCCTATCCCTCACCTGTCCCCCAGGTGTTCCTGTTGCTAGGTAACAAGCGTCTGAACGGGTTCTGGGCGGCAAACGTCCCTCTCAGCGAGTTGCTGAGTCCGACCAGCTGCAGCGAAGACCGCCGACGATTCATCAGCTCCAAATACAGACAGGGCAAATACCGCAAATACCACCCCCTCTACGGCAACCAGAGAGAGCTCAACAACGTAAGATCAACCTTTATATAACCCTGATCTGACCTCCAACCTAACCTATACCCCTCCAGTATCTACAGTATACCCCTCCAGTATCTACAGTATACCCCTCCAGTATCTACAGTATACCCCTCCAGTATCTACAGTATACCCCTTCAGTATCCATACCCCTCCAGTATCTACAGTATACCCCTCCAGTATCTACAGTATACCCCTCCAGTATCTACAGTATACCCCTTCAGTATCCATACCCCTCCAGTATCTACAGTATACCCCTCCAGTATCTACAGTATACCCCTCCAGTATCTACAGTCTACCCCTTCAGTTATCCAATGACCCCTCCCGTATCTACAGTACCCTCCAGTATCTACCGTATAACCCTCCAGTATCTACAGTATACCCCTTCAGTATCCATACCCCTCCAGTATCTACAGTATACCCCTCCAGTATCCATACCCCTCCAGTATCTACAGTATACCCCTTCAGTATCCATACCCCTCCAGTATCTACAGTATACCCCTCCAGTATCTACAGTATACCCCTCCAGTATCTACAGTATACCCCTTCAGTATCCATACCCCTCCAGTATCTACAGTATACCCCTTCAGTATCCATACCCCTCCAGTATCTACAGTATACCCCTCCAGTATCTACAGTATACCCCTCCAGTATCTACAGTATACCCCTTCAGTATCCATACCCCTCCAGTATCTACAGTATACCCCTTCAGTATCCATACCCCTCCAGTATCTACAGTATACCCTCCAGTATCTACAGTATACCCCTCCAGTATCTACAGTATACCCCTTCAGTATCCATACCCCTCCAGTATCCATACCCCTCCAGTATCTACAGTATACCCCTCCAGTATCTACAGTATACCCCTCCAGTATCTACAGTATACCCCTTCAGTATCCACACTCCTCCAGTATCTACAGTATACCCCTCCAGTATCTACAGTATACCCCTCCAGTATCTACAGTATACCCCTCCAGTATCCATACCCCTCCAGGATCTACAGTATACCCCTCCAGTATCTACAGTATACCCCTCTTGTGTCCATACCCCTCCAGTGTCCATACCCCTCCATTGTCCAGACCCCTCCAGTATCCCTCTCTCTCGCCCCCTCTCTTCGATTAAGTGCGTGTGTTTCTGTGTAGTGAATGCCTCAGTTTTACAGCTCTTAGCTGGGTCAGTCAATAGCCTCTTAACCCAGTTACCAGAAGCAATGCCAACTGCACACAGCTCTCTCTCTGTCTGTCTGTCTCTGTCTCTGTCTCTGTCTCTGTCTCTGTCTCTGTCTCTGTCTGTCTCTGTCTGTCTCTGTCTGTCTCTGTCTGTCTCTGTCTGTCTGTCTGTGTCTGTCTGTCTGTCTGTCTGTCTGTCTGTCTGTGAATCACATTCAGCACATGACTTTGAGTAATTCCATTTTCCTCCTTCAGGGATTTAGTTCACCAGATGTTCACTCCCAGTGTGTGTGTGTGTTAGTCGTGTATGCACCGTTTTCGCTCTACTCCTGATTGTTGGACCAGGATGAAACAGCATAGGGAGAAACACACACACACTCTCAAATCAAATCAAATGTTTATTTGCCACATGCACCAACTACAACAGGTGTGGACCTTACAGTGAAATGCCTACTTACAAGCCCTTAAACAACACTGCAGTGTTAAGTAAAAAGTAGATAAGTAAAAAATAAAAATAGCAAATAATTAAAGAGTAGCAGTAAAATAAAATAACAGTATCGAGGCTACAGTGAGGGAAAAAAGTATTTGATCCCCTGCTGACTTTGTACGTTTTCCCACTGACAAAGAAATGATCAGTTTATAATTTTAATGGTAGGTTTATTTGAACAGTGAGAGACAGAATAACAACAATCAAATCGAGAAAGACGCATGTCAAAAATGTTATAAATTGATTGCATTTTAATGAGGGAAATAAGTATTTGACCCCCTCTCAATCAGAAAGATTTCTGGCTCCCAGGTGTCTTTTATTCAGGTAACGAGCTGAGATTTGGAGCACACTCTTAAAGGGAGTGCTCCTAATCTCAGTTTGTTATCAGGTATAAAAGACACCTGTCCACAGAAGCAATCAATCAATCAGATTCCAAACTCTCCACCATGGCCAAGACCAAAGAGCTCTCCAAGGATGTCAGGGACAAGATTGTAGACCTAGACAAGGCTGGAATGGGCTACAAGACCATCGCCAAGCAGCTTGGTGAGAAGGTGACAACAGTTGGTGTGATTATTCGCAAATGGAAGAAACACAAAATAACTGTCAATCTCCCTCGGCCTGGGGCTCCATGCAAGATCTCACCTTGTGGAATTGCAATGATCATGAGAACGGTGAGGAATCAGCCCAGAACTACACGGGAGGATCTTGTCAATGATCTCAAGGCAGCTGGGACCATAGTCACCAAGAAAACAATTGGTAACACACTACGCCGTGAAGGACTGAAATCCTGCAGCGCCCGCAAGGTCCCCCGCTCAAGAAAGCACATATACAGGGCCGTCTGAAGTTTGCCAATGAACATCTGAATGATTCAGAGGAGAACTGGGTGAAAGTGTTGTGGTCAGATGAGACCAAAATCGAGCTCTTTGGCATCAACTCAACTCGCCGTTTTTGGAGGAGGAGGAATGTTGCCTATGACCCCAAGAACACCATCCCCACCGTCAAACATGGAGGTGGAAACATTATGCTTTGGGGGTGTTTTTCTGCTAAGGGGACAGGACAACTTCACTGCATCAAAGGGACGATGGCCGGGGCCATGTACCGTCAAATCTTGGGTGAGAACCTCCTTCCCTCAGCCAGGGCATTGAAAATAGGTTGTGGATGGGTATTCCAGCATGACAATGACCCAAAACACACGGCCAAGGCAACAAAGGAGTGGCTCAAGAAGAAGCACATTAAGGTCCTGGAGTGGCCTAGCCAGTCTCCAGACCTTAATCCCATAGAAAGTCTGTGGAGGGAGCTGAAGGTTCGAGTTGCGAAACGTCAGCCTCGAAACCTTAATGACTTGGAGAAGATATGCAAAGAGAAGTGGAACAAAATCCCTCCTGAGATGTGTGCAAACCTGGTGACCAACTACAAGAAACGTCTGACCTCTGTGATTGCCAACAAGGGTTTTGCCACCAAGTACTAAGTCATGTTTTGCAGAGGGGTCAAATACTTATTTCCCTCATTAAAATGCAAATCAATGTATAACATTTTTGACATGCGTTTTTCTGGATTTATTTTTTGTTATTCTGTCTCTCACTGTTCAAATAAACCTACCATTAAAATTATAGACTGATCATGTCTTTGTCAGTGGGCAAACGTACAAAATCAGCAGGGGATCAAATACTTTTTTCCCTCACTGTATATACAGGGGGTACCGGTACAGAGTCAATGTGCGGGGGCACTGGTTAGTCAAGGTAATTGAGGTAATATGTACATGTGGGTAGAGTTAAAGTGACTATGCATAGATAATAAACAGAGTAGCAGCAGCGTAAAAGAGGGGGTGGGGGGAACAATGCAAATAGTCTGGGTAGCCATGATTAGCTGTTCAGGAGTCTTATGGCTTGGGGGTAGAAGCTGTTAAGAAGCCTTTTGGACCTAGACTTGGCGCTCCGGTACTGCTTGCCATGCGGTAGCAGAGAGAACAGTCTATGACTAGGGTGGCTGGAGTCTTTGACAATTTTTAGGGCCTTCCTCTGACACCGCCTGGTATAGAGGTCCTGGATGGCAGGAAGCTTGGCCCCAGTGATGTACTGGGCCGTACGCACTACCCTCTGTAGTGCCTTGCGGTCGTAGACCGAACAGTTGCCATACCAGGCGGTGATGCAACCAGTCAGGATGCTCTCGATGGTGCAGCTGTATAACTTTTTGAGGATCTGATGACCCATGCCAAATCTTTTCAGTCTCCTGAGGGGGAATAGGCTTTGTCGTGCCATTTTCACGACTGTCTTGGTGTGTTTGGACCATGATAGTTTGTTGGTGATGTGGACACCAAGGAACTTGAAGCTCTCAACCGGTTCCACTACAGCCCTGTCGATGAGAATGGGGGCGTGCTCAGTCCTCTTTTTTTTCCTGTAGGGAGAGGTTGTTATCCTGGCACCACACGGCCAGGTCTCTGACCTCCTCCCTATAGAGGACTGAGCACGCACCCCTGAGGGGCCCCCGTGTTGAGGATCAGTGTTGCAGATGTGTTGTTACTTACCCTTACCACCTGGGGGCGGCCGTCAGGAAGTCCAGGATCCAGTTGCAGAGGGAGGTTTTGGTCCCAGGGTCCTTAGCTTAGTGATGAGCTTTGAGGGCACTATGGTGTTGAATGCTGAGCTGTAGTCAATGAATAGCATTCTCACGTAGGGGTTCCTTTTGTCCAGGTGGGAAAGGGCAGTGTGGAGTGCAATAGAGATTGCATCATGTGTGGACCTGTTGGGGCGGTATGCAAATTGGAGTGGGACTATGGTGGTCTGCTTGAAACATGTTTGTATTACAGACTCAGTCAGGGACATGTTGAAAATGTCAGTGAAGACACATGCCAGTTGGTCAGCGCATGCTCGGTGTACACGTCTGGCCCTGTGGCCTTGTGAATGTTGACCTGCTTAAAAGACTCACATCGGCTATGGAGAGCGTGATCACATCGTCATCCGGAACAGCTGATGCTCTCATGCATGTTTCCGTGTTGCTTGCCTCGAAGCGAGCATAGAAGTGATTTAGCTTGTCTGGTAGGCTTGTCACTGGGCAGCTCATGGCAGTGCTTCCCTTTTGTAGTCTGTAATAGTTTGCAAGCCCTGCCACATCTCACTCTCTCTTCATGCGTTGGACTAAATGAATCCTTTGTTCTCCTGCTCCCCCCTCTTATCTCCCTCTCTTCATCAACCTCGCTTTCTCTCTTTCTCTCCCTCGCTTTCTCTCTTTCTCTCCCTCACTTTCCCTGCTCCATTCCCTCTTATCTGGACAGTTTCTCTCCGTGCTCTCCCTGGGCCTCAGCCCACCTCAGCATGTATTGGTGTGTGTCGGAGCTCATGCTGCTTTGTTTATCTAACTGT